AGCGCAGCGGCCGGTGGGGGAGGAGCAGTGCAAGGGGAACGTGGGGTGAACGTTGCGCTGGGTGCTGTGGGACCCACTCTGGAACAGGAGTTCGGCTCGATCCGCTGTGGAGAAGGGGAGTGTTTGCGACAGGTAAGTGGGAAGAAGGACTTGTTACCTTCAGCCCTCGGTTTGGGGAAAGGGCTTAGAGGTGGAGTGATCTACGGGGTTAGTAGTTTACGCGCCGAGACGATGGGCTGGATGGCAGGGCTGGATGGCCGCGAATGGGTGCGGGTGGGCAGGTTGATGATGAAGGTGTTGAGATAGCGGCACAGATCCGTTTGGGCTCAGAGAGGTAAACGCTGAAAAGAAACCAGAGTTTGTTCCGTCTCACCGGGAGCGTGCAGATGGGCAGGGTTAACGGAACCCCACGCCTCTTTGGGTTTCCAAGGCTGGGATTCGAAACTAACATCTTTCGCTCCTACCGGTCTCCGATTCACGATGATGGAGGTCTGGGGCCAGACGGCGCTGGGAGCTGAATGCCGACCTCCTTCCTCGGCTTCTTGTCTGTTGTGGCTTTGCTTTTGACAGCGCGCTGAATGCATTTGATCGCGGAGCGCAAACTCAAGTGGGCGTAAGGCCCCTGCCCGAGCTGCTCTTTCGTGGAGCATTTTGCACACGGGACTGTGAATGAAGTTGAGTTGCACGCGTTTCGCGATTCCCTGGGCCAGCTTTGCACACTCCTTGCACCGTAGCTGGGTCCCTAGTGGGGTAGGCGCTCACTTTAGGCCTCCTGGAGTCTCGGTGGCTCAGCGAAGTATGCAAGGTCAGGGTTGGAAGAAAGGGGATGTGGCTTCAGTGGAGTAGACGGAGATAGGGCTGGAAAGCTCGACTGGTGAGCGTTAGTTAGGTCACGAGGCCACCATTAGGTCCCATTGCTCTGTGTAGACTTGCCTATGGTCAGTCTGGGGCAAAGAGAAAACTTCCAGCTGAGCGGAGACTCCTTTGGTTTATGGGAGCATCACTTGGCCGGTGAAACGAAGTGGGGGTGGCGTGGAAAGAGGTGGGAGGTGGGACATTTGCAAGGTAGCGTCCACGGAATCTGGTGAGTTAGTGCGTGAAGAAGAGGCAAGTGAAAGAGTAGAGAGGGTGTCGGATTTTCCAGTCTCTGGAAGGATACAGATGCCAAAATGGCAGGTGAGATTTAGAAGACGAAACGGGTTGATTGTGGAAAAGGCAGAAACTGAGGGCCTTATTTTAGGGACACGTTAAGTTGTAAGAACCACCCCAGGATTTTGTATACGAGGACAAAATAATTTGCTTTGAAAGAAGATCCGGAGAGTCTGGCATTTAAGTGAAAGTTCTTCTGGAGAGTTTTGCCTCTGGGGGTTTCAGCTACCAGCCTACCTGCTTTCCCTGTTTGGGTGCTTGGGGTGGGGGGTGGGGGAAATCAGGAGAGTAGATGACAAAGCTTGGTTTTAAATAGTCAAACCTCTTCTCTATCTTCTAGTTTACTTTTATAGGTGAGAGAAAAAAAAAATCACAAAGAGTTACCTAGATTTGTCAGGCAGGTGGGAATTTTCATCAAAAATAATGTATTCATGGTGCGTTGCTTGCCAATTTTTCTTTTGCAAAAACTGCAAAATGAATGAGTCAAGGTGTACTGGGTATTTTCTACATAGAGTGAAGCATAAAATTGGCACCAAACAAATGGTAGCTGTAATTTACTGTGTGTCGGGTGCCCTGTTAAGCTTTCTGCAAGCATTACTTCATTTAATTCCTAGAACAAACCAATTTGACAGCAAAGTAATTTCCGCACCTTGGGTGGGCACAAAGCGGATACTTTTAGCTACTCTGTAATCCTACGTGTTGGCTTCTTTCTTATATGGTTACTTTTGTAAGTAAATTGTGAATGAATCCAGCCAAAGGTAATACATAAGTTGGTGTTGTCAGTGAGGAGCTTGAAAAGAAAAAGCTAGGATCTAACTGGCTAACTCCTGTGATGGTGTTTCTCTGTGGATTGCTCGGCAGGGGACGGTTGGCAATGTCTGGAGGTAGGTTTGATGGTTGTGGTGTGGAGTGCGGTGTGGAGTGTGGTGTGGAGTGCCGTGTGGTGTGGAGTGCAGTGTGGAGTGTCTGGGGCGGGTCCAGGCGGGGGCTGCAGACAGACGGCCTACAGTGCGCAGAACAGCCCCAACAGCAGAGACAGAGCAGGTCCATGGGGCCATCCCTTATGGTTACTGCCTCAGGTGTAGGAAGCTCAGATCCACCGATACTAACGTTTTAAAACGTATTTTTATCTTTAAAACCATCCTTTGTCTTGAAGGAGCCCTGGTGGTGCAATGGTTAAGTGTTTGGCTGTGCTTTGAACCCACCTCTGTGGGAGAAAGATGTGGTCATCTGCTCTGTAGAGACTACAGTCTTGGGAACCAGGTGGGCAGTTCCCTGTCCCACAGGATTGCTGGGAGTCAGAATTGACTCAGTGGCAACTGTTTTGGCTTTTGTTGGGTCCTTATCTTGAAAGGGAGCTCTGTGGTGCAGTGGCTAAGGCATCTGACTGCTAACCAGAAGGCTGGCGGTTCAAACCCACCAGCCACTCCTCGGAAGGAAGGTTGGGCAATCTGCTTCCATAGAGATACCAACTCGGAAACCCAAGGAGGGGTTGCTACAAGTCGGATCTGACTTGACGGCAGCGAGTTTGGTTTTTATTTGAGGGGGGTCTTGAAAGGTGTGTGAGGTTTCTACAGCTTCAGCAGAGCAGCCTACCTCATTTTTAGGGTGAATCTGTGGGCCCCTGATCCCTAGGGGATGGTTGTCGGAGATTTATGGCTATGCAGATTTGGGGAAAGATCCTCAAAACCGTCCAGTCCAGCCGCCCATCCCTGCTCAGTGGTAACTCACCTGTGCTTAGAGATTTCCTGGTACCTAGTTTCCCGCATTTTAAACCCATGTTTACACCACCCTTAACAATTTTTCTTTCCGTGGCTCTCCATTTCATGATTTGATTACTGAATGGGTTCTGCTCTCGGGGACTCCGGCAGCAGAGTTGTCACAGGTGTCATTTTACAATGACTGTGTTTGTATATTGCTTTTAGTACAGATGATTCAATATAAAATAGCGTTTCCTTGATAGCTTTTAGAAAGTATCACTCTCAACTGGTAAAGGCCTTTTCTTGGGTTGAAACATTATAGGAACATATGGGGCCAGTGGTTCATTGTCTCTTTTGTTCTTTTCAAGTAATGCCATAATGGATCTACTCTTTTTTTAAGCACTTTCTAGTATAATGTCAGCATATTTGTTTCAAGTTGTATGTAGACACTAAAAACTTAAGTTTTCAAAGTGTAGTCAATATACCCATTGCTGTCAAAGCAAATCCAACTATGGCGACCACAGAGTAGAACTGCCCCGTAGGATTTCCAAGGCTGCACTCTTGTTACAAACCAAACATGCCTCAGTTTCCAGGTCTCGCAGTCTGGAAAAGCAACCGCAGACTGCCACATGTTTCTCCCATGGAGCAGTGGGTAGGTTTGAACAGCCAACCTTTCTGTTGGCAGATGTGTGCTTGAACGACTGCACCACCAGTTAACATTGTTGACATTAAATAATAGCTACAGGAGCTCTGGTGGCGTAGTGTCTAAGGCACTTGACTGCTAACCAGAAGACTGGTGGTTCAAACCCACCAGCCACTCCTGGGAAGGAAGGTTGGGCAATCTACTTCCATAGAGATACCACCTCAGAAACCCAAGGAGGGTCAGGTCTGACTCGAGAGCATATAACAACAACAACCTCAAGGATGTGTTTTGTTTAATTTGCTTACAGGTTGATCTGCTATGAAAATTGGTCCTATTGCCACCTGGGGCCCCTCCCCCACCATTTCCTTGGATTTAGAAATAAGTTGAGGTATTTAGTTTTCACTTAAGATCACAGTTTCAGGCATGCTTATCCTGGGATGTCGACCTTGCCGATACGCTTGATGTATATATGTGTTTTATGAAATAGTCTAGATGTTTTTCAGAGTAAATAGGATTTTTATTTAATTGCCTATTGACTTTTTTTTTCCAGGGTTCATTGAAAAATCGTTAGTGATATTGACATGTTTCAAGTGACATAAATTAGCCAATGACTCGGAATGACGGATTCCTCGAAGATTGGAAATGGTTGGCCGGTGATTGGACGAGGGACTGATATGGGGGCATCTTCACTCCACCTGGTGGGGTATTTGGGGAAAATTCGTGAACTCATTTTTTTCCCTCAGTGCAAAATTTTACTTTTCCTCTTTGGGACTTAATTTGGTTTTAATTTTACCGGTTAACTCGTGAAACATTGTATCTTCCACGGAAATCTTACAGCAATGGCGAAAGATTGTTTTACTGTTTACCTCTCCTGTGCTTTATTGATACAGTGAAAGCAAAAGCAAAAGTAGACAGTGTGGCTTGCCAGCGTTTGGCAATATGGCGCCTGTGTTTCTCCTGGCAGTTGATAACTGCTTTATTCCTTGCAAATAAAACTGGTGCTATTTAATATTTAAAACTATGCTAGATCCTTTTTGGAATAATAGCTGTATGTAAAAGCCTATGTGCATTTCTTTTATTTGCCATGTTTAAAATATGTTGCTAGGACACTTCTAGTTAAAAATTGTCAATTTTTTTTCTGGTTATCTTTCCATTTTGCTTTTTTGTAATCAGATACACAGGAGGAATGCCTATGTTTTAATGTGCTTTATTTCTCTTTTAGAACTATGATTCAGCTAAAGGAACGTCGGATGGGTATTGCCCGGCTTGTAGAGAGAAGGGAAAGTTAAAAGCGTTAAAGACTTACCGGATCAGTTTCGAGGAATCTATCTGTTTGTGTGAGGATCTCCAGGTAGGGGCTACATCGATGTCATGTGTGTGTGTTGGTCTTTTGTTTTTCCACCAGCGTGTAAGTGTGTTATACACTTTCTATGTTATGTTTTACTTTTTATGTTGGAGAAGGTAGATTTTTAATACTCAACAGGTAATTGGAGTTTCTACATGCATCTGGTAAATAATTTTGAAAAAGTTTCCATTGTATTTTTTTATTTAAATACAAATATAGTTTACTTTATAATTAAATATAAAAGAAACAGAAAAAAAATAGCATGATTAGGATTTGATTAAAGTTTGGGTGAACG